CTTCTGTACCCTGTAATCAAAACAGAGAACGGATGTACAGAAAATAGGATATAATATCTGACCATAAAGCATATGGAACTTTTCTCACATCAAACATTGTTGACGGATTCAAGTCAAGGACAAGTTTTTCCGAGTCACAACATAACAATAAATAAGTATTGTCAGTTATGTGGGTTTCACTTGTATATTCCTACACAATTTCAAACCGATAATGAACAACAGGAGATCCCACAAACATATCTGGGCTCTAACATCCAAACTAAAACTCCCCCAAAGTTTCCATAAACCTTACCTAACACAAAAAACATTAATCTGAATTTAAGTTACACTAGATCAGTCCAAACTGACCCCTAATGACCTTTAATCTCTCCCTCACTCGGTCAGCTCTTAACACAGATGGAGACCCTAGACGATGGACTGCCCAGCCAATTTCTTTAGAGATAAAACAATATGGTCAGTTATCTTTACACTCATTGATTTTCAATCCTGTATACTTGGTCATAACTCTCACACAGAATATAATGCCAAACCATACTGACTGTTCCGACAAAACACAGACCTATTCTCTCATTACATAAAATGTTCTCACATACCACAGAAGTGTTCTCTCATACCATAAACTGTTCTTACACCATATATAAATGTTACTACATTAAACAAACTGTTCTTACACCATATATAAATGTTACTACATTAAACAAACTGTTCTCACATCACAAACCTGTTTCCTCATTTCACAAACTGTTCTCAGACGACACAAATCCTGCTTTCTTATTTCACAAACAGTTCTCATACAACACAAATTTGTTCTCTCAGTAAACAATTTGTTCTCACATTACACAGACCTGTTCTCACATTACACAAACTGTTCTCACATTACACAGACCTGTTCTCACATTACACAAACTGTTCTCACATTACACAGACCTGTTCTCACTTTACACAAACTGTTCTCATATTACACAAACTGTTCTTCTCATTACACAAACTGTTCTCAAATTACACAAACTGTTCTCACATTACACGAACTGTTCTCATATTACACAGACATTTTTCTTATTACACAAACTTTTTTCATATTACACAAACTGTTCTCACACTGAACAAACTGTTCCCACGATACAGACCTTTTTTCTCATTATACAAACTGTTCTCACATTACACAAACTGTTCTCATATTACACAGACTTGTTTCCTCATTACACAAACTGTTCTCACATTACACAAACTGTTCTCACATTACAAAAACTGTTCTCATATTACACAAACTGTTCTCACATAACTGTTCTCACATTACACAAACTGTTCTCATATTACACAAACTGTTCTCACATTACACAAACTGTTCTTCTCATTACACAAACTGTTCTCACATTAAACAAACTGTTCCCACAATACAGACCTTTTTTCTCATTACACAAACTGTTCTCACATTACACAGCCTGTTCTCATATTATATGCCTATGTAATTGAAGTTATAAAAATTGTATAATTAGCACTATTTTGTTTACATGCTGCAATGCCTGCATCCTTGTTACTTCCGAGTATATGCAAATAAGGTAGAGAAGTTTTGAACCAACCACCATTATCCCCTAGAGGGATAAGCATCATTGTCAGCCTCTTTAGTCATTATTACTGGTGGGTGTTTGTATACTTGCATGGTTTTCACATCCATTGATCTTTCAGTTTTTTTTCAGCATTTTGTATTCTGTATTCATCATTTTGTATTCCATTGATATTCATCATTTTGTATATCATTGATCTTTTTGTATTCATCATTCTGTATTCCATTGATATTCATCATTCTGTATTCCATTGATATTCATCATTCTATATTCCATTGATATTCATCATTCTGTATTCCATTGATATTCATCATTCTGTATTCCATTGATATTCATCATTTTGTATTCCATTGATATTCATCATTCTGTATTCCATTGATATTCATCATTCTGTATTCCATTGATATTCATCATTCTGTATTACATTGATATTCATCATTTTGTATTCCATTGATATTCATCATTTTGTATTCCATTGATCTTTTTGTATTCATCATTCTGTATTCCATTGATATTCATCATTTTGTATTCCATTGATATTCATCATTCTGTATTACATTGATATTCATCATTCTGTATTACATTGATCTTTTTGTATCCATTGATTTTTTGTACTGTTTTATGTTTCTTTATGTTTTCTGCTGTCTTTATTGGGTACTCACTTCTTTATAGTGGGTTTTATAGTGGGTTTTATAGTGGGCTTTATAGTGGGTTTCATAGTGGGTTTCATAGTGGGCTTCATAGTGGGTTTTATAGTGGGTTTTATAGTGGGCTTTATAGTGGGCTTTATAGTGGGCTTTATAGTGGGTTTTATAGTGGGCTTTATAGTGGGTTTTATAGTGGGTTTTATAGTGGGCTTTATAGTGGGTTTTATAGTGGGTTTTATAGTGGGCTTTATAGTGGACTTTATAGTGGGTTTTATAGTGGGTTTATAGTGGGTTTTATAGTGGGTTTTATAGTGGGTTTTATAGTGGGCTTTATCATGGGTTTTATAGTGTTTATGGGTTTTATAGTGGGTTTTATAGTGGGTTTTAGTATCTTATCCTCTATTTATGTGCTTCAGTAGTTCTATCTTCCTTCGATGGGTTAACAATTTTACTCTCAATACTTTTGTTAGCACATTATTTCAGTAAATATAGAATGAACATGCTTGTCTCCTATTTTCCTGATTGTTTCTTCAGTAATTTTTTCTCTAACTTGACCTCTCTTATAACATTCAAGAGTTATGTATTGCGACTCTTAAAATAGCTTACGAGTCAAGAAGCTATATTTAGACTTGTCCTTCTTGAATTGCTTCAGAGTAAGAGAGGCAATTTTATCTTTTAAATGCTCGTGACTTTAAACTTCTCCAGAATCACTCAGTAGTCAAGTTTAAGTCATCTACTTGGATAATCTTAAATCACTCCAGATTTTGCCTAGCGGTCATTTAACTTTAATCTTTTAAAATTTTGTTTGTTACTAGGTCATTCTCATTCTACTCTGGAGTCTGTTTTTCAGAGAAGTTTACATTTAATTAGTGTGTAAAGCTGATAGTTTGAGAGAGCAGGCCCTGATACACCAAAGTATATCTAATATGTATGTTGGTATTAGCTGTATTTTTACGGTTCCTTCAAATAAAAAAGTAAAACTATTTTTCCTTGTTTTAGTTGTATATAAGCAAATCATGGATCCAACAAATATATTCAGCCTGGCCCATCAGAAATACAACATAATTTGTTTCATGAGATACAAGGTGATGACGGTAAACTTTCATATACCTGTAGATAATGTTGTTAATAATGAACGATTAAATAAAATCACAGACATCTGACAAGTGCACACATAAAAATAATTGTTTTGGAGTAAAGGCTTTTTAAATTAACCTGTCTGCCTTTTGTTAATCTGTCTGCTTTTTGTTAATCAAGACTGAGAAACTGCACTGAAATAAAAATAAACATATTTTGATGTCATGAGGCAACTGAATATACAATCTGATTGGATCATTAACGCTGCATACAGCAACTGCACTTGTATACAATATAAATTCTAAAAATACTGTTGATTATTATTAAAGAACTTCTGTCACCACAGACATCTAAGTATGTAAAAGGTTACGTCACCACAGACATCAAAGCAGTAAAAGGGGATTATTTTTCATGTTGTTACGTATTTCAGAATGTAATTTTCATTGATTTTTTTTTTCCAGAAGATCTATTGCTTTTTGCTCCAATTTACTGACGTTGTAGAGTAGATAAGAAACAGTCACAGTCCATTGAAGGTGGGGTTACAGTGGGGAGAAAAATGTGCCAGTGGAGCTTGGGAAAAGTATATGGTCTCCATGTTAGCGGCTAGACTGTGTAGTCATGGTGGAGAGTCACCATTTTGGAGCGTGGGGTGGGTTAATCTTTTTATTTACTCCATGCTAAGGCCCTCCATCTGCCAATGTGGAGAACATATGTAAGAGGGTAATCTGTAGTGTATATAAACTGTCACTAAAATTTGATAATCTTACTGCTGTTTTTATACCTCTTTTGAATAACTGTATTTCAAAACTTGTTCAATATCTTGTCACAGTAAACCCTTGTTTGAAGTTTCATAAAATTCCATTCAGAAATAAAAGTTGTAACGGCAAAAAAAAAGAAATGAAATAAACAATGGGTAAATAAGAGAACTCAGGTTCAGAAATACTAACATGTCAACGATATAGCCACAGAAATTCTTGTATGAAGTTTCATGAAATTCTGTTTAGAAATCAACTTTCGAGCATGATGTCAAAATAATTAAAGGGACATAAACTTAATAAGGGCAATAACTCTATAAATGAAAGAGCAGAAGTTACAAAATACAAACTTTTACTAGATATTGCCATAGAAAACACTTGTATGAAGATTCATGAAATTCAGCAGAGAAACAAGCTTGTGAAAGCACTGACACAATAATATGAATGAAATAAAGCAGGGGAGATAACTTTAGACATAAGGGAGTTCAGGTTACAAAACACAGAACTCCTCTGAATTATGACAACAGTAAACATTTGCATAAAGTTTCAGTAAGAAGAATTGTGAGAGCACTGAAAATAAAATTTGAATGAGATAAGCTAAGGGAAATAACTCAAAATATGAAAGTGTGAGTTACGAAAAGCAATATTGATTTAGAAATTCCCATAGTTAAACCATTATTAAAGTTTTCTGAAGTTTTGTAACAAGACAAAGCTTTTAAACCATTGACAAGAAAGCATAACATAACTGCAGGCCAAATCCCATATCTATCCAAACTCAATGCAAGTGGATAACAATATTTCTTAATGTTTACACATTTATGTTTAGATGCTTCAGAAATGCTGCAGTAAAGAGTCTAATAGCAGAAGTCAAAACCACACTTATCAGCACAATAGTCATTATACAAACACACTCAACTACAACATAGGAGGCAGAGGCTAATGCTGTTGTAATTTACCTGGTTGTATCGTCTTTGCCGATGTCGGAGTTTGACAGGGGATACCATGTCTTCTCGCTCACTTGAAGTTCCAGAGATCTCCTCACTCTCACCATCAGATGTGATCCTAAGGTTTTCATGGACTATACCTATAACATAATATGATAATTTTCCTCAATCATCTTTGAAAAAGAACCCTATTTTTAATCAGTTTGAAGATTCTTTAGGTTTTTTGCCAGGGATACAATCTACAAGTTCTACTCATTAGTTTGGTAATATTTACAATTGTTTTAATTACCCTATAATCAAGACTTCACAAAATTGAAAACCGGCAAATGTTTACACTAACTGATTAAGATCGCCGGATATCATATCTTCCTGTTTAAATGAAAATAAACTTAAAAACATGTTTAAAATAAAAAATTTGACAAGGTAATATATGCAGTCCAGTTTAAAATGGTGTCCTGCTATAGAGAAGTTGAAGCCTTTATATAACTTAATTACCATATCATATACAAAACTTTCATGGCAGATTTTACAGGGAAATACATGTACCTAACAGTTGATTTGTAAATACATGCATAAATAACACAACCAGCAGCTATTAAGAGCTGTTTTTACTTTCAAATCAATTTTTTGTTGCAATACCTACAATAATTTTATATGTCCTAATAAATCAACAGAAGAATTCACTGCTTTAAAACTTCTATAAAAATTGGTGAAAATTCTACTTTCAATTTAAGCTCTGGTTTTACAGGTGTCCTTCCTTTTAAAAAATGTATGATTAAATTGACCAACACATGGTCTCCCCATATTTTTTTCTGAAACAAAACCTCTGAATATGACAAAAATAAACTAAGAATAACACAGAAAGAAATGTTCTAATGCAAAATAGTTTATTGTCAGTTCATAATGATTTCTCAGTCACACTAGAAAAAATGTAAAAATGGCAGGCCAAACTCAAGCAAGAGGCCCACAGGGTCTGTATTGCTTGCCTGGTTCAGTTGTCTGAAATTGATTTTTTTAAATGAAGGGAAAAGTATTTCAAACTTCTATCAGGTTCTTGGCATGGTATGCACTTTGCTCTGACTGCTCAAATGGCAAATAATGTTGAAATGGTAATACACTGATCAGAATGTGAAAATCCTCATGTGATTTGCAGTAAACATGTCAGAGGAAGGAAAAGACAGGAATGGTAAGAAATTTTATCTGATTTGTTGTATACATGTGGCTCTGTTCTTTTTGTGCATATAGAAACTGAACAAGACAATACCCTGAAGTCAGTGTTTCTCAGACAGAATCTGTCTTGTGAAAGCCAATTGAACTACCGTATTTTTTTCTGCTGGATATAAATCAGTGTGTCCATTGTGGCACCGAGGACAATGTGAATATATCAGAGGACAACTACCCAATAAGTCAGTGCTGTGTAAAATATGGCAAAGTCAGTGTCATCAAAAGAGGAAGATACACTAGGTAGTCACTGTAATACATCACTGTTTTAAACATTGATGACTGACATAATAAAAAGAATAAAGACTAATGGACATCAAACTTTTATTTCAGGATCATGGCATATTTTCAAACATAAGGAATTCTTGAAAAATAAAAAATAAACTATTGAACTGTCATGACAGATGCAGATAACTAGAATTCCTTCTGAAAATGGCAAATAAAACACTTACACACACTATCATTAAATTTCCCATTAATATATTGTTAATAAAACATTAATTTGTGTAATTAATCTTTGTAAAAGATATTTTAATGGTGTACATATAAACCCATGAAAATCAAATAAATTTTTTGAAGACTATCAAATCTAAACCATTTAGTTACTGACTTAATGGGCATGAATTTTTTTAACAGTAATTGTTTCTTGTTAAGCAGATTAATTTTGATAAACTGCTCAGAGAAGGCTATTATTTTTGTTTCATACGACAACTAAAACTTAATGACAATGACTCCATTAATACAACTATTCATACCGTTTATCTAATCTCCATCGTTTTGTTAGTCAGTTTATCCATACAGTGGCCACTAATTGTTTGCAATTGTACAATTACTGCAAATTAAAAAAAAAATATATTGTTGACCATTGATTTTCTTCTTCATTTTGGTGTTAGGAACAAACTTAAATATAATGGCAATGAGGCTAATTATTTCATTATCAAAATGATCATTAATTGTGTAATCATTATGGGTACAATTTAACTATCTCTTGTAATACCAGTTTAAAAAAACTGAGAACAGTATAAAATTATTTACAATTTCAATATATTGTACATGTATATTTTTTGCACATTTTTATCAGTGCTTCATGACTCATATATTGGTATTTAACTTCAATATTTAGTTAACATAGCAAATATTTACTTTGGCAGTAGGATCCTTGATAGTACTAGGACAATTTGAAATCATTGAGACCTGCAAATATAGCTTGTAATGTAGCTCGTCCCTAAGAAATAATGATGAAACATGACAGTTGGGGAGTGCCGCACTCCGTTTTATTTCCATGGCGATTTGTCATTATATCATATCTACCATTTCCCATCATCAATTGCAATAACCAATGATTTGGAAAGTTGCATGAATTATTTAGGTGTCACTGAAGGGTTGTTGCTCATAGACAGATGGCTACAAAAAAGATGAAAATTGAGAGCTAGCCATTGCAACAGTGTTAAATCAGATCCATTTAACTTCTGCGCAGCTATTCCTGTGGTAGACAGACTCTTATCATAGTGGAAAGTCCACTCTGAAGTATTAGAATCTACATATGGATCTTCATCTTCTGAGAGTTCAGGTAGTCTTGATCACTTCAATACGTTGCTGATTCAGTCTCCATCCTCCTCATGATCACAGGGTGAAATTTCCTCAGGCTCACATTCACATCTGAAATATCAAAATACCGGTACTAGAAAATAAAAGTGAACCAAAGTTATTATAAAATATGCATACTTAACATGTGTATATATAAAATAGATTAGGATAATCAATGGTGATTAATGTCTTGCAAGTGGACCAATTAAATCCAACCAATTAGTTTGTAACCCATTGCAAATCCATATCGTTGTAACACAGAAAATGTCAACTTTTGAAGAGATAGTCTTTAAGAATCTATTCATAAATCACCATAAAATAAAGTTTTAAATGAAAAATAAATCAAAAATATAGATATAGAAGATAGCTTACCACTCTTTTTATTCCTTGTTACTGTTGTGGCCAGCATATTTATTGACAGGAGGAAGGTCACCATCATGAGGGTGTGGTTCCGACGAACACAGGAAGTTACCGCTTCCGTTGAATACATATTTTAACTCTCTGTATCTTTAAATATGCACTGCTTGTGTTCCGCTTTTGACGAAATTATGTTGTCTATAGCATGTTTGCCATGTCACAAGGGTAATTATTTCTGGGTCATATTTTTGACATAGTTGAGATACCAAGCTGATAATCATATAAACTCTATAGACATGTATAACATTGCTGGGCTTTAATATCCAGGTGAGAGATACAGGCCCTTGGGGTCTCGTTTTTGTTCACATTCTATAAAACCTGATGATTTTTGCTACATGCGACACAATAAGTGAAAATTATGATATGGAATGACTAAGTTTATTTTTATTTTTGTTTTGTATCTTGAGCCAAAGACTGATTATTATGAATTAATGTTGAGCCAAGACTTTTATAATTGTTATCAGTAAACCGCCTGTAGATGGATCATGACCAGTTTACTTCTGAGTAGTTATCTATCAGACGGGAATTAACTGGTCTTTGGATTTTTACATCAAGTGTAATTGGAAGTACATGTGTGGCAAAAAGTATGGGTATTACCGAGTTTGACTTCCAAGAAAAATGGAGAACATTTTAAAGTAAAAGAACACACACTATAGGATTATTTTATGCCCCCCTCCCCCTAACATTTCAGAAAATTACTCTCTAGACAGTATTCTGATGGCCATCATACATGTTTCCCCCTAATATTTTAGATAATTGTTCCTTATATACTATTCTGATGACAATTATCAATGTATCCCCCTGATATTTTTGATAATTGTCCGCAATATACTATTCTGATGGCCATCATAAATGTATATGTATCCCCCCTATTATGTATCAGATGAATGTCCCCTGTAGATACTATTCTGATAGCCATCATAAATGTATCCCCTCTAATATTTCTGATCCCCTAAGATAAGTATTCCCTATTTACCATATCTAATATACTGTATTTTATACCTTCATCATTGCTATTCAGAAATGTACTGCATTTTACAGGTTATAAGCCGCACCAAGATTATAAGCCACCCCCTTTCTTACAAAGTGGTAACCGTTATGTTGACCAAAATTTGTTGATATAACAGTCAACAGACAGCAATTTATCAAGATCATCAGTGAAACATTTAATATAAGTTTTCAAATGAATTATACACAAATAATCCTTTATTTTATTGGTGTGTTTCAAAAATTATCGAATTTGCTTGGCTTGGGAATCTTCAAAGATTGTCTACATACAGATATAGGGCCTGACATTACATACGGTTAACTTAACGACACCTTCATCAGTGTTGGTTCTGTTTAATATTAGTCCTTGAATAGTGACAAAATTCTTATAGTCCCATATTATTTCAAGTAAGGTACAGAAAGCCATTCTTATCGTAAACAAGCATGGCGGTCATTCTAGAATTTGACCTATAACCTGATGACCTATCGATCCCAGGATGCAACAGGCTAGTGTAACCTTCCAAAACAACCACAGACATTATTGTGATTCATATTAAAAGGTATGATTAATAAAATCTATGATAATATTATGCTTATTTCAATCTTAAAATCATACAATTGCAAACGACAATTCTACAAGATCAATTTCAGTCACAGACACGTGTACAGGTACTCGTTCAAAAACTTGTTACCATCTCATACTAATTATCTGCCTTCTGTATGACAACTTCCGTACAGGAAGACTGAATGGCCGTTTTGAATATAGCCCAGTCCATGTTTGGTTATAAAATTATGAGCAATTTATGCATATACAGATAGGCTTGAAGCAAGAAGATTTCAATTTTTGAGAAAGAACAGAGATTCCTTTGAGGATGTTGTCAGTGACCTTGATAATTCAATAGAGAAGTTGCCAACTTTTTAGTTTTTA